AGGAAGGAAGGAAGGAAGGAAGGAAGGAAGGAAGGAAGGAAGGAAGGAAGAGGATGAATGAATGCAGTAAAAATTCTGGCAATCTTTATGTCTGTAACACTAAGAAAGTAATCCCACCACAACACAATACCTATGACAGGGGAATCGCTCTCCTTTAGCCACAATAGTTGTGTCACACAGAAGCTCTTCCTGGTGCAGCTGTTTCAGGCCTGAAAAATAACTCAGACTTGTTAGCAGTGTTTGTGAAGAAAAGACACAACCTCTTCTCAACACCCTTCATTAGCTGCAGCTGGGAACACAGTGTATAAAAAGGGTTGTGCACAGCAAACTGTTGAGGGCAAATCGTGAATTATCTCGTATCGTCGAGGCTTATGTGGGTTCCTGGCGTCTTCCCAACTGTGTGTGTTTTGCTGGCCTTTAAAGTCTGCAATTCCTTCTCCTGCCCTGTCCAGTTAATTGCCGCAGCGTGGTTTGTGTGGATTGTTAGTTACAGTTTGCATGTACCTTGTTTTGGACTGAATTTTCTACGGTCAAAGGCTGTTCCTGGGAGAGTTTTTCTCCAGCCAAAGGTAACTGGAAATTGGGGGCAAAATTGGAGATAATAAAGGGACTCTTCTTACTTTGGTGACTGTGTTGCCTTTTGTCCCACGCCCCTTTGAGTCATCCCACCTGGGCTGCATCTTTATTTATTTTATTTATTTATTTGATTTGTCAATTGTTTCCAAGATAATAAGTATAAGTGTATACATAGTTGTGAATACATGAAATGGGTATATATAAGAAAAATAAAAGAATAGAGAAACAATAGGACAGGGACGGTAGGCACGTTAGTGTGCTTATGCACGCCCCCTACAGACCTCTTAGGAAAGGGGTGAGGTCAACAGTAGACAGTCTAAGGTTAAAGTTTTTGGGGTTTGGGGAAGAAACCACAGAGTCGGGTAGAGTATTCCAGACATTGACCACTCTATTGCTGAAGTCGTATTTCCTGCAATCAAGTTTGGTGCGGTTTACTTTGAGTTTGTATCTATTGTGTGCTCTTGTGTTGTTATGGTTGAAGCTGAAGTATTCATTGACAGGTAGGACATTGCAATGTATGATTTTGTATACCATGCTTAAGTCAGACCGAAGACGGCGTAATTCCAGGTTTTCTAGTTCTAGAATTTCAAGTCTGGTGGCATAAGGTATTCTACAACGAGTAGAAGAGTGGAGAACTCTTCTTGTGAAATATTTCTGGACTTTCTCAACTGTGCTAATATCAGATAGGTAATGAGGGTTCCAGACTGATGAGCTGTATTCGAGTGTTGGTCTAGCAAATGTTTCCATGGAAACCTGGTTTAGTGTGGTTCTAAATCAGGGCTTGTTTTCACGAAGACAGGAAACTGACCTTCCCGTATGTAGTGATCTAAAGGTTTGGGTTGCTCCCCAGCCAGATCCTCCTCTCTGTCCAACAGGGGATTCATTCTTGTGGCTCCAAGTGGATCCCAGAAAACGAAGCTGTGTGTTATCCGTCTGAGTAAAGCAAGCAGAGTCCCAATTACGGCGAGGAGAATTACATAATCCCAATCTAAGATTGTTACCTAAGAATGTGTGACTATCAATTTCACTCAGTTTTCTTTCTTTTTTCTATTCATTTTGGCTGTTTCAATACGTATTGGCAGGTATCTTTCCCCACAGATACATATTAGAATTACACAGGTTTCTTTTTTTTTTAATTTTTAAAAATAAACTTTATTAAACTTTAAAAATTATTTACACATTACAAAACATTTAGTTAAAAACAAAACCAAGACGAAAGAACATGACCAATAAACATAAAACATGTACATGTACATTTCTAATTGCTTAAACGATGTATTCCTATTAGGCTATTTTCAAATACTTATCTCCTCTATCTAGTTAGTACTCCTATTATAACCTCTATATATTTTCCCTTTCCTATCTATTCACTCGCTGGTTTCTATCTTTTATCCAATTATACCAGTTTTTCTCAAACGGTAAAATATTTTGAGTCTTCCTTTAACTTTTGAGTGAGTTTATCCATTTCTGCACAGTCGTAGATCTGAATTATCAGAGTATCCGTTGGCATTTGATCACTCTTCCAACATTGAGCTAATGCTATCCTTGCTGCAGTAATTATATGTAACATTAAGTATTTTGTTTCTTTTGCGAATTCACCTTTTGTTATTCCCAACAAAAGGATCTCAGCTGAACTGCACAGATTTCTATATGTAAGCTCATTTTTATTTCCTCTGGTTGCAATATTTCTGCCATTTTTCTTGGTTGTCATCTTCTACTTTTTCTTGGTTGTCATCCTCTACTTTTCTGTTTGCAAATCTATCAAACTGTAGGATTTTCCTTTTTTGCTTGGTAGCTTGAAGTAAATTGTAATGTATTATTGTACAATCTGACCTAGATATTTGAATACACAGTGTATCTTCTCCTTGTGATTTGAGAAATCTGGAAAAAAAACAACACCCTAACCTTTTGTTTTTTGTCCTCATCTAAAATAAAATTTTAAAAAATTGCTATCTCGTTTTTCTCAACCCTGGGAAGGTTAAGAGGTGCGGACTTCAACTCCCATAAGTCCTCAGACCTTCCTCCTCCTCCTCTTTCTCCCCCGACAACAACAACCCTGTGAAGTGGGCCAAGCTAAGGCAGATTGACTGGCCCAAATTAGGCGGCTTCCGTGGCTAAGGCAGGACTCGAACTCATGGTTTCCCGCTTTCTATCCCAGTGCCTTAATCCATAACACACCCGGCTGCTTCTCTTTGAAACGGGCCCCTTTCAAGTAGAACCACTGGGAGAGGGAGGGGGGGCCTTACCTGGGGTGGGAGGGTTTGAAATAAAAGTTAGGGAACCAAGGAGGTTGCCTGGAGAAAGATTGTGCAATGAAAACTTACACAGTTGCACGGCTACGGGTGCAAAGATATGCACACCGACGCACACATGCGCGCGCTGGAGAATTTTCGCCCCGATTCCCTTTTCTTACGAAAATTTCAGTAAACGGAACGAAAAAACGGCAGAAGGAGAAATGCAAAAAAAAATATTTCCTGGCCCGGCACTAATTTCAAGAAATCTGTGCAGGATTACGGAGGGGTGCGCTTCCCCCCTCCCAGGCTATTCTACCCCCCAACCCTCCCACCACCCATCTTGACCTCTCCTTTCACCCCTTACCTTTGGACCAGACTGGTGGTCTCGCCTCCTCCCAGGACCGGGGAAGCCAAATTGGCCCTGAGCATCATCAGGTGTCCGATTGGCTCACCTGGGACAGGTGTCATAGTCCATTTTTACATAGGGGTGTGTGTGTTTTCCTCTGATGGGTTTATTCCAGGTTGTCTGCCTGTAAGGATGGTTGGGGGGCCGTGGGGGGGGGGAGCAGGCCTGGCCTGGCCTAGCTGGATTTTTAAGAAGATGGAGGGGGGGGTCTGGGGGGGGCGTGGGAAGGAGTTTAAAAAATTCTGAATTGTGAAAGGAACGATGATTGCATGGGGTGGGAACGTTGGACGTACGATTGATCTGGAAGAATGGGAAAAGATCTGGAATGTGAATGATAAAATAACAAAACCGGCGGCGTATAAGGAAAACCAACACAAAACGTTCTATCGTTGGCATTTGGCACCTTCAAGACTGGCTAAGATTTACCCAAGTTTAACACCAAATTGTTGGAAGTGTGGACAACAGCAAGGTAAACTTCTTTCATTCTTGGTGGACACGCCCCAAAGCGGAAAAAAATACGATCCAGATGTGGTTAGAAGAGTTAACTAAAAACGAAATTGATTTTGTCCCGGAATTATTCCTCTTGGGAGTAATTTTTAAAAAACTATAACAGAAAGACAAAAATATCTTATATTACATATATTAATAGCAGCAAGAATTTTATGTGCTCAGTACTGGAAGAAAAACTCCATACCACTAGAAGGCTTAATAATCAAAAAATTTTTTTTAGAGTGTGTGGGATATGGATAAATTAACTATGGAATTAAAAAGAGAAAACAGACACAGAATACAACGCAGTATGGGAAACATGGTTTATTTGGATTGATAATAGATATAAAAAATAGAAAATGTAAATAATGTATATAATAAATAAGAGGGTATGAAAGTATTATGTATTGTAAGTTTTGATAGGACACATAAATGTATATATAATGTCACAGCGCTATTTAATAATTATTGGTATTATGTATAAATGGAAAAAAACTCAATAAAGCATTATTTAAAAAAAAAAAAACTTCCGAAAAGAAGGAAGCATAAAAATTACTTGATCTTTAATTGAAAACTTCGGGTGGCAAATATTTTTTGGAATCTGTCACGCGATTGATGGTAAACGATTTCGTAGTTATGACAGCGGCATGACCTCGACCGTCATCGATATGGATTAGCTTGGTCGCTAAGCAAACTGTTGTAAGATGAGGACTACCTGTAATTGGCGACGCAGATGCGGAGAGCTGGGCCTAAAATCCTAGAATCAGCACTTTTATTCCTACATGGGAGGGTCCACATATCAAAGGAGAAGGTCTGCAAACACAGACTTCATTAAATC